TTCCTGCTGCTCTGCCTTTTCTGAGATGGGTGTGACATTGGCCTCTTCAAGACAGAGACCCTGGGTTGGGCAGAATCATCTGCCAAGCTGGGTTTTGAATGCTGAGCTAGGAGAGGAAAGTTGAAACACAGCCTCCATCGCAGAATGTGCTGAGCCTGCCTGTTGTGTAAGAAGCTGCAGCAGGCTGGAAAGGCAAATGGCTGCGGGCTGTGCTGAAGCAGTGCTCGAATATCTCAGGATGAGGTGTACAGTAAGCTAAGAGGATTTTTCCTGCTACCTGTGCTATAAATTCTTTTAATTATATCTTTTGAGACATATTTAATCTCTATATTAAACATGTATATATATTTAAGTTTTATCAGTATATGTAAAAGGAAAAGCTACTTTAGAAAAGTCCTTTGTAATGGTAAGCCGCAATGAAGATTTGACAAATAATAGAATTTTTGCAATCATATGACCCTTTATATTTGTTATAATATACCCAAGAATACATACATAAACTTTGGAGATGCCTTCTGAAGGTAGCAACATATTTCAGAAGGGTACTGCAAACTGTAATGGCACATCATTGCCTTGACAAATTAATTCTGCTAATAAGCTGGATATGTAGCTGATCTTCTTCTGCTGTTTGTGATAGCTTGTTCAAAGCAAACCAAGCATATCCTTAGCTACGTGTTCAAATGCAGAGAAGGGATGAATACCTTCTGCAGGATGCTCAGCTTCAAGGTACCTGTTTCTTAATACCCGCTTTATTTCTCATGTGCATTATAACTAGCCTTCAGTAATCACAACACTACATGGGTTTGCTAGTTCATTTTTATAACTTAAACGCAAAGAAAACTTGAAACTCAGCACTTTTGGTACTTGATACTTCCAAATTCTGTGGGAAAGGGTTTTTTCTCTAAAATTTGCTTAACCCTTCAGCCCCTTTTAATCCTTCCTCTCTCTGCTGTTACATCTCTCTCATTGTGCTGCTTTCAAATCCTTATTCTCAAAGGCTCATTAATTTTGGAGTTTTTTGTGTTCAGATGCATCTTCGACATCTATAAAATAGCTCTGCTAATTATCATGTCTTTTCTGCAGAGTTCTTTAAAGCAAGAGTGCTTTTCAGCCAAATTACAAGAATTTCTTTCACTATTTTGTTTTTTAGCACAGGTAAAACATCTTCCCTCCATTTGTTCTTAGAAGTGATCAGAGAAAAAGAGAACGAAAGTTTTGCAGTGGAAAGGCCATAATCATATCTAGCCACATTTGTGTGTTATAGGTGAATCACTGCCCAAATACTTTTGTTATTTATGTCTTAACGTTTTAACTATTTTTTGCCGTGTTTAAACTTGTATGAAGGGTTGTATGAAAGGTGAGAAGAAAGTAAGAGAGCAAGTGGATGAAAAGTGAAGGAATAGAAGAGGAAACTCTTTATGTTGTCCTTTCCAGAAGAACATCTTTAGAGGTCAAAATAGTCAGCATAATTGATTCCTGCCAGAGGCAGTAGTAATTTATATCTTTATCCTTGACTTGACTTTTAGCCTGTATTTAGCCATCACAGTTATTGTAGCTGTTTCTTTTGACTGTCTCCATGGCAGTTTCTTTCATTGCTGCTGCTTACAGCTCGCTTCCTCTTCACATAAAGTCTTAGTGGCTGGAAATGTTTGAAAGAAAGCATACAAGCTACAAGTAATGCTGTGACACTCACACTCTTTAACTCCAATTGTTAATGCTTTCTCAGTTAAATCAGACATTTTTAGATGTATATTTGCTTATAGACAAGTTTCAAATTGTAATCATAATTATATTTTAATTATATGACAGATTGAACCTAATTAATGGTGTTAAGAGAGCCAGATTGATCTTAAGCCGGCCAGCAGATGAATAAATTGAATTCAATTCCCTGTTGTTGAAGGGAGAAGAGGTCAGTGTTCAGAAAAGCAGCTGTGAGGTGGACAGGCATGAGGTGGACAGATATTGCATTATATGCCTATAGTTCCTGGCTGTGGCTTTCAGAGCCAAGTGAAGGTTCCTCCTACTTCCCTCCTGCTGCGTGTAGCTGCTGACAGGCAGTATAGAAAGCTTTGTCAGCAAAGCAGGACAAATAATGATTATGAACTTTGTGTTGCGCTGGGGTAAAGCAGTGCTAATTTGCAGTGTAACTCCTAGAACTTCTATAGGCAGAGCTCAACACAGTTGGTTTCACAACACCAAAGTCTGTGAATTTCCCATTGTCCATCTTTTCCCTGCTGCCTCCCATGCAATTAGTGTGGCCTTCCAAGATCTGTGCCTTCTACAAGGTATTTGTGCACAGCATGAAGATCCCTCCTGGCCTTCTCTGGTCTAGGCTGAACAAACACCCCTCTTCCAGCCTCTCTTTACCTGCCCCACGCTTCAGCCCCTGACCAACTTGTTGTCCCTGTGCTGAACTCCCTCCCATTTGTTCGTTTCCTTGCAGAACTGGAGAGTCTGAATGGGATCTGGTGTAGAAGCATAGTCTCCACTGTGCCGAAAAAAGTGGTAGTACACACATGTGGCCCCACTGGCTGTGCTCTCCCAAATGCAAATCCGTAAGGGTGGCCAACCAGTCCACATTAGGCACAAGCACTAATTACTGAATTATCATTTTAATTAGTCTTGTAGCCTGTCCGTAACCTGGTGAGCCCTTCAGTATTTTTTCCTAGCTCTGGTTCATATGCACGCCTTTGTCCTACTCCAGTTTCATGTCAGGCTAAAAGTTGGTTGTGCATCAGAACTCTCATAGAGGGTTTTTTGTTTTTGTTTTATGAAGGAAATTGGTAGAGGTTGAAAGGATATAAGGCATACAAAGCAGCCATTGAAACCACTGAATACTAGACCAAATCTGAGGTTCAGCACAGACATATGATGGCCCACTGTGAAATGCTGCACTTACAGGACAATGAAGATGAAAGAAAAAAATATAAACAGTTGCAGAACAAAGACAGTTCTCTGGTTTCTGAGAGGGATGGGGTTCTTGTTCACACAACTGAGCTGTCCCCCTCTACTAAGAACAGGGCATCCTCATTCAAATGCTTCCTGGATTTGGCACCTGCTACACCTTATGACGCTGAGTGGAGCGCTAGTTGATCTGGTCAAAATTGTGAAGAAATTTGCTAAATGTTAAACAGTATGGCCTCTAGTTCAGCCTCTCTCTCTGTCTTTTCTCCTTTAATAGTCAGCCTGATATGCATTAGTTTCTTGATTTTTTTTTTTTTTTTTTTTAAACCTATAATCATAGAAATGGCTGGAAGGTCCCCCTGGAATCATCTAATCCAACCTCCTGATTGAAGCAGAGTGCAGTGCTGGCCTGGAGTTAATCAGTCCTCAGGTCAACAATAGAGGTTTTAAAAAATCTATTCCAATGAGGAATGTAGATTTCTCTTTCTTCCTTCAATGAGATTTGACAGTAGTCTGTGGTAAATCTGTAGTGCTAAGGTGTAGCACTCTAGGGTGCTAGATGTATGTTAACAGGTTACCTACCAGGTAAATCTGGCATTTCATCAATCCTGGATAAACTTTTTGCCTGGATAAACATCTGCACTGTCTCTGCAGTGCTGTGAAAAGAAGCTTGAGATTGTGACAGGTTTGTCTGCTGAGCAAGCTCTGAGTGTCCTTGATCTCTCTCAGGTAGTTAAAAGTACACTTTCTCCTAAATGCTGCACAGTTCATGGTAGAGTGCTACCCGTGCTTCCAAATGTCTACTTGAATACTTACCTTTCTAATCTGCTCAAATTCAAGGCTTCTCATTTAGCCATGTTAGTCTTCTTATTTCTTAGTATGGTGAGGGGAGTGTTCGGGTGGCATTTTCTCTGCAGTTAACAAAAAAAAAAAAAGAGAGAGATGCATTGCCCAACAATTAGTGTCTTTGACTGGAATGGAGAATTTATGAATTCCAGGCATGATATTTAGACTTTGTGAATTCATTGCATATTATCTGTCTGTAATACAGGAATTATCAGATAATACTTTCCTATAGTGTCTTATGGGGGTGACATGAACACTATTTGGAGCATGTTTACTTGGCACTGGGAACTGGAATGTTCAGTATAATTTCTTGCCTTTTAAATCTCTAATAGTGAATATGCTTTCCTCAACTGATGGCCTCAGATATTTATGTCTGTGTGAGAATGTAAGGGGCTCTGAGGAGAAACTCCAGTTTCTTTCCTCATTTGCTGTCTCACAGTTTAATGCAGATAAGGGCTGGTGTTGATGCAACCAGGGACTCCAAGCATCTTGAAAGATCAGGCTGTTGCTGTTATAGTTCTCTCTGGCCTGAAGGGTCTGTATTTCAGGTAAAATGTTTTTACTTCCATTAAAAAAGTAGCTTCAAAATGACAAAAACACCACTCAAAAAGCAATCTGATACATAGCATTCTGGCAAAAGAACATCTTCATGGATAGAAAGTTAGAGTTCGACCTGCAAAGGCTTTTCTCTTTTTCTATGGTTTCATTGTCTCCTGATACATTATATCTAATTTCATGCTGGATGGTTGTTCAAGACTGTAAGTGGCAACTAAATAAAAATGTCTTTGGAGACTGCTTGCTACTTTGCCTTTGGATGCTTCAATGCTTCATTGCTTCTGTTCCTTTTACAGGTGCATGTGACAGCATTGCAGCTATGAGTGGAATTCTAAAGAGGAAGTTTGAAGAAGTTGATGGCTCCTCACCTTGTTCATCCGTGCGGGAATCAGATGATGAAGTATCAAGCAGTGAAAGTGCTGACAGTGGTGATAGTGTCAATCCATCCACTTCTAATCATTTTACCCGTAAGTACTGTAGGTTGTGTACCCAAATAATTCATTCTGTTCTTCAAAATAAACTAGAGTTTATGGCTAGATAAATGTGATGATGAAAAAATGAACTCCTATACACTACTTTTCATCACTGATCACCTGGTACATTACAAGGAGGTGAGTGTTGTTAACAGATAATACAGATATCTGTAAGTATACAGATAATGTTATTAAGATTATCTGTATAGCCTACAGATAATAACATTTACTTTCAGAGAGTTGTTCAAAGTGACCTCGTGGATTAGTAACCTTTTGCCTTGATGCTCTTAAAGTAAAACTCTTTGTAAATCTGAAAATTGTTAACAATTTTGTAGTTAACCTTCAGAGTTGTCACACTGAAGATACTTCAGGCAGGTTTTCTAGTAAAGTGTTTTAGGTAAGCTTATTTATTTTTCCTGGATAAGCACAGTGCAGCTGTCAACTATCTACAGTACAGTATTGGTTAGAGTTTTTCTCCAAAGCAAGTAATAAAGTTTCTTTTATTTAGGAATAGAGGGAAGTTGTATATTGGGCAGAGCTACTGGTCATTGCAGTCGTTTCAATTTTTCGTGTTCATGTGGGTATCACTGTATTCAGCAATTGTTTTTGTAAGGGTAAGTGTTTTCTTTTAAGTTGGCAAAGCTAGGTAGATTATGTAGGCAGCTATCAAGAATGAATTTGAGGCTGATTATTGGTGTTTATGATATTTTTTGTAGGTGGTTATGCAGGTGATTCTTGTAAGCATGGTTTAGGTTGTGCCTGTAAGTCAAGCTTGTTGTATATAGTGCGAAAATATCATAACTGATTTGTCTGCCAAATACGGCTGTGTTGTTCAAGCCTGACACGAAGGTCCAAATCATCTTTGATCTAGTGTGGAAGTCACCTGTGAAAAGGATTACAGTGGCATCACCTTGCAAATATGTTTCTGTGTAACAATCTTGATGAGATGTCTTACTTTTAAGATATGCTATTAGTAGGCAACTTTATTTTATAGAAATGACTCAAAGGAATGAGTGACCTAAGAAATTTCATCAATAGTATTAAGTGATGGCTTGGTGACAATATTATCTCTATGCTGACCTTTTAACTTTTGCATCTCTTTAGGGTTTTACATGGTTATTCCCCATAGTTAGAAAGCAGTTCTTTGTTATCAGTCATTGTCACCTACACAGAAGACAGCAGTTTTATTGTGAATACACAGATAATACAAAGACGGCTAATGATTCAGAGGCAAAACTTGAAAGTTATAATACGTGTACATAACAATAAGCTTTGATTGTAGTTAACACCCGAAATGTAATAGTTTAGCTTCTGAAATCTTTAAGGGCAAAGTGAAACTACAGCATTTCAGAGTACTATGATTCATATAACAGGTATTTTTGAGTGGAGTAATAAATATGTATCTGTGTCTAACGATTTATATATTAAATATATATGCAAATAGCCTATAAACATGTATATCAGCTGGCAATATGGAAATGTGAGGAGTGAATTGTTTATATTGCTTTGATGCTTTTTAATAAAATACTGTCTTTAATAGAGGTACAGTGGCCTAAATTCAAAAAGTCAGTGCAGGATATTTACAGTTTTATATGAAGGTGATTTGGGAAGGAAGGAATTGTATGAGTGACCTTGGTATATATTTGAATAGGCAAGTATAAGTGTCTCCAGCAAAATGACTTTTGGAAACTACTGTATAACTGAAAGTGGCATCTTTGAATCTATTGCCCTGCTTTGCTATTACTGCATGCAAGGTGTTTGGAAGAGCTTGATAAAGGTAATGTGGTAAAGGTAAAATAGGGAATGTTGATTCTCAGTTGGAGTACAAAATGAAAAGATAGTTTTATACCCACTTAGTTATTTGCATCTTGCATCCAAATTCTTTTCCAATCTGCATCATTATTTACTAACTTTACCGGACACACTAATTTATGCCATGTTACTCCTGATAAGAAATATTTTGTTAACCATATTTTGTTAATATGGTTAAGGTTGTGCAAGTGAGCTTTTGAAACTTTTTATTCTTTCTTAATGTTAAAGCATGATAGTTATTCATCTGTTTATGCAGTCGATACCTACCAGTTGAGTAATGTTAGAAAAATTGAGATCACTAGTTTCCAGCTAGCCATAGACAGATCTGCTAAGAGCAACTCTATACTAGAAAGGTAGGTCTTGATGATGGTGATGTATGCTAATGAAAGTTAATAGTTGTATGGAATTAAAACTACTCATGTTTTAGAAAAGATTCTAATTACTTTCCCATTTAAGGCAAATGTAAAGAGTAATATAAACTTCCTTTTTTTTTAATTTTGCCAATTAAATATGGTTAATTTTTAGATAATTGACAAATGCTGAAAGATTATCAGCTTGATAAATGCTGCCTCCTAGGAAAAAATGTTCGTTACTACATGGAAATATTACTTCTCATAATCTTGTATGTATATTGTGACATGTGCTTTGCATATAGGATAAGTTTCTTTTCACTCTTTAGTAAAATGCTGCCTTTAATGCACATCATACAGCCTGTGTAGTAAAAATATATATATATTTATATATTTATATATATTTATATTTATATATATTTAGCTATATATATATATATATATTGCTGAGGCAGGAAGGATTTGCCTAGTGCCAGGAAGAGTGCCTGCTGCAAACATGCTTCTCACTTTTTTGAAGTAAATTTGATTCATAGCACTCCGTCACCCTCAGTGGGGAGAGCACTCCCATCTAGGCACTCTGAATGTACATTAATGCATTTCCAAAAAAAAGTGTGTATGTTTAGGAGTACAATCCAGTGTACTGAGTTCACTTGCTACATGAATACGCAGGTAGGCAGAGCTGCTGCATTAAAGCTCTTCCACATGTGATAGTTGTTTAAAAATGGAGTGCAGGTACAGTATGTAATAATAATAATAATAAATAATAATAAAACAGATAGCAATGTACCTTAAAATACATATTGTTCATTCTTTAGGCACATTTAACTACTAAAAAAGATAGAAACTTTCCTATCCAGAATATTTAAATGAGTACTTTTAAGAACGTATGGAAAGGCGGAGTTCTGTGAATCTCCTTCAGGACAGTAAACAGACTGAAAATAGCCAGTGCAGAAGCTGCAGCTGGCACTCCTGCAGTGCACCAGCAAGCGTACAGTATATACAAATCTGTTAGAGTAGTGATGCAGTAGATATTTTGGTAACCCTTGAAACACTACCTGTTGGGTCAGATAACCAAGAATGCTTCAACCATCCTGTTCTATTTGCCGTTAAGTTTATTTTAACTAAGCTAGTGTATGGCTGCGTTGGATCACACAAGTGGGGCAGAATGAGAAAGTGGCTTTAATCTGAACAATGATCCCTGCAGTGCGGCCGTAAAAATGACATGAATAGTATGTCCCTAAGTGCTATCCATTATGGTTACTACACAGTGATAACTGCCTAATTTCTCTAAGAGTGTATCTATTTAAACAAATCAAGATAACAATAAGAAAAATATCCTAGTCCAAGTTGCATATGTCTTTTTCTGAGTCCTGAAATTAAATTACAGTGTGCATCAGGAAAAGTGCATGGCTAAATAAAGTTGTTGCTACTTTCTGCTTCATAAGTTTCAGTTGATTTAGAGTTAGTCCAATATATATTTATATAAAATACAAAGTTGCTATAAAGCATAGATAACTATTACAAGGTTTATAACCGAAAAATAAATAAATGTTGCTTTCTCTTGGTTGGATAGCCGTATGCATCTGCACGTTTTAAATTCTCCTATCAAAGGATGGTCACACACCTTCATTATGAGTTATTATGAGGGTTATGAGAAAACCATTCAGTTTCTATAAATATTCTCTCCAGAGTTTTCATTTATCCTAAAAAGTACCAGAGGGATTCAAAACTACAAATATATTCCCTTTGCATTTCTTCCCTTATGACCTTGAAATTAGTTCTTTAAGTATTCTATAATCGCTAACAAATTGTCTGTGATCACTTAGAATTTTGAAGAATTGTACCCAATCCTTTGAAATCATGCAGATAGTCTAGTTTCTCTTACATTTTCTTTATGCAAAACACAAATTTTACTTGGTGTGAGGTCAATAGCATAAATCATAACGTGAGCCTTAAGATTAAGCTGTGTTTAATTACTGACTAATGGTAGAAATCTAAATGAGTGAGACACCATGATGCTGGTTTATTATAGGAAAAAAAACCTTAAAGGCTGCAACTACATATAGGCTTTTTGTTATAATGACTTGCAATTATTTTATATTGCCTGCAACCAGGCTTAGAATTTCCTTGTTAATGAGCAATACCTTTGTTACTGATATTTATTGATGCGCCTTATGAAATGCAAACAGGTTGAGAGATTCTCGTTTTTATTTTTTTTATTTTTTTTTTGTCTTTTTAAAAGAAGTTCATTCATCTGGGCGGTGAACAAGAAGTGCAAAGAAATTCAGTGAAGTGTGGTACAATGCTTTAGCTGAACTGCTTATACAAAATGCTTGGGCAGGATATGGCATGCAAGAATCTTGCCTGCTGTCTTTCATTGGAAGCAATGACTATTGCAGAGGGAGTTTAAAAAAAAAAGGGGGGGAGGGGAAGAAGAAGAAAGGTAAAAAGAGAAAGGGAGATGAGGAGGCAGGTTCCCACCGATTTTTAGATCGGTTTGTGCAGTTTGTGTGACTAATTTTATTTCTTTGGTTTTGAGAATGTCTTTCTTGCAAGTTAGTGCACTTCATACCTGATACAAGCAGAGGAGCAGACTTTGCCTTAAATGATTTTGGGGGGGTCTGAAACAAAACAAAATAACATAAACATTTTTGCTCGTAAACAAAAATTCTGCACTGAGAATGTTTATGATAGGCAAAATGTGTTTGGAAATGTAGAGATGCCACAGTTAAATGGGTAGTTGTATCAGACAGATAATTGCAAGAATCACCCATAAGATGAGAGAGAGAGTAGACCATAGTGCCTTAGGAGAGTTCAGTGCGTACGATTGCT